CTTTCAGCGGTGCCCCTGTGGTTTGGACAGCTCTGGGGCTATTCTTCAAAGGTAATCTTCAAAGAAAGGTATAAAATCCCATTTACCTGCGGCGTGAAGACATCTTGGTTGTCTGCTATTCAGGGAGCAAGAACAAAATTAACTCATCTTCCTAGAAAACCTCAGGTATCCCCTCCTGCAAACTTGGAGATTTGCAAACAACCTGCCTCCTGAATCCAGAAGAACTTCCTGAAAAAGGCAGTATGGACGGGTTCATATTGTCACAGGAGCAGCTTGTGATAGAGGGCGCTTTGGCAACACTCTGTCAAATATATTATAGATATAGCCTATATGCATAGCTCAGAAAAGCAGCAAAATTATATAGAATCTTAACATTTCATAGCTGCTGATAACTCTATGTGCTCAAATTTCAAAACAGGCATCTTTCTTACATTTTGATGCTGTAATAAATCGCATCTTTCCACACAGATTGTTTCTTCTCAGGGGACATAGTCACTTCAGTTTCTGGGACAGGCCTTATAAGGTACCTACTCACATTTGTATGCTTTGGCCATCCGTTATGCATCAGATCATTGCGCTCTCGCTGAAGACAATGCCTTGTATTCTACGCTCTCATTACTTCCATTGTATTTCTTCTTTCAGAAAAAACAATGAATATTAGCAAATGCACTTGATTTTAAATTTGGAAAGTGTGATTAGTCTTCTTTTCTGCACTGAATTCTATACAGGGAAGGTAATTTGATTTAAGATAGGATATGCTTCAAAAGAGGCTATTCCTAACAAAATCACTTTATAGCCTTTGCTGTTACTTTCTGATTCATCACTAAAATATAAATTTTGATATTTTACTTGCACTCTGTTTCCCTTTTTTTAGAAAAGTCTAGGCATGCGATATGATAGGATTTAAAATATAGTTTCATTGTTTTGGTTTGGTTTAACAACTCTCAGCCTTCATTATGTGTCATAAACCCTCTTATGCATTTTATTACAAGTCATTACAAGTGTCATGAGGAATGTGGGTGATGGAACCAGGATATCTTTTTAATTCTTATTGATCATTTAATGTATAAATTACCTTCTAGCTGCTTTACTGACAAACACCCTTAAGTAGTTTTCACGTTCTCAAAAACAGCCTTCAAAATTTCTTAACCCAAAAGAATCACCCATAAGAATCAAAAGCAGTAGAAGGACCAGATTTTTAACATCAACATATGAATTCTAACTTACCATATGAAAATGCAGTCTTATATTTGTCATTTTTGTACCATATACTACGCATAGTTCCTCTCATCATTCTGTCATCTTCACTTTATGCTTAATGATCGTAGCACTTACCACATAGATGTTGCATAGATATCAACACTATGATTACTGGAAAAAATTTCAGCACAATAATGGTAGGTTATTATACCTAGTTAGGTGCTGGCGTATGCCCTTTCCTGGCTTCATCTATACAGAACGACAGGTTGGAGTAGAGTACATTGCTTTTCCTTGGTGAGGCTATGACAAATTCAGGCTGGGATCATTATGAATCTATAAGGGAAAATGTCTTAGAACACATCATTAATTCACGTGGACTGGAGAGTATCGTGAGACGGGTGCACGTAAGAGTTTCTGAGTGAATATGGACATTCAGCTGTAATACTTACCTTCAGTAGCTGTATAAAAACACATAAGGATGTACACAGGAGTAGATTCAGGGGCCCTTTTCCCACTCAGTAGTCTCTTCTTCTAGTTCCACTGATTTCGGCATCGGGTTTATGTCATAATGGAGGTGTCTGATCCTGGAGTTGGGTTTTGTTCTATTACACTTTGAAACCTATGTGGTGAGCACTAGGGCACTCACAAAGAGCATGCCGAGAGAGCGCAGTTTGACCTGTGCTTTGGGCCAGTTCACTGCGTTGTGGACGCCACAGCTTTGCTGAGCTTTGTAGGACAGATTTTAGAAATGTTGGTGGACAGCACAGCTGAATATAAGTCTGGCTTGTTTTGTTTGAACAGCTTTTGTGCAACAAAAATTAAAGACTGAGATGTACTACCTCCTCTCCTTTCACATCATTATTAAATAATTATGTCAAAACATCCAGTCTTTCACAGTGGTAATTCCCAGACAATTTTGATCTTCACCTCTGTTTTTGGAGTATTTTGGATGCATTCACCTCCCTCCCCACTTGCTGGCCTGCTCCATGTTTCTGCAGTCGACCTATCCTTCGCTCATGAATTCCCTCACCCCCACCCCCCGCAGCCCACCAAAAAGCCTAACTTCACAACCGTATACCCGACAACCCAGCCCCAGTCCTACCCAGCCCAGTTCGTCTGCCACTGAGCACTCGGCTCCCAGCCCCTTCCAGCCCTCTCCCGCCCCACGAGCCCGGCTGCCCACCAAGGGTGAAGGTGACTTTGGCCAGGGAGGCAGGGAGGGCACTACAAACCACCAGCTTGCTTACACACAAGACTAACTTCAAACCCTTCATGGACTTGCCAAAGAGTTGAAAACATTTCAGGAAGGAAGCAAATGTTAAGAGTAAGAGAACTAAGAGGAGAGGAAGGGAGAGTGAAAGTCTGCATGAAGTTTTCATGTATTTTCTTGTGACTTTCCCTGGGCTAAACCACTGACACCACTTCTAACCTTCCCCACTTTGAGAATCACAGCAATCTTTTCCAATGATACTGCATTTAAAAAAAAATTTATGTTCACTACAACTTAAAGTATGAGAATAATTTGCACTGTAAATAACAGAAGATGACCTCCATCATAATAATCTCTGTACAAAATTTCTCATAATTATTGAATGATGGAAAATATATGCATATTTCAATTATTTGCATTTATTAATTTATTAATACAAAAATTCACTCACTTGTGTTTCTTATTTTATGTATTAAGCCTTCAGCACTGAAATATCCAAAATGGTTCAGAAAAAGAAACTGCATCTTTTTAGCGCATATAAAGGTCAGCTGGTAAAATTTCAGTATATAAAGCAAACGAAAGAAAGTATAAAGAAAGTATTTCTCCAGGTTTAGGTGCCACTTCTTTCAGGTAAAACAAAATAGTTTGAGTTGTAGTTACTTTTTTGCCTAGGTCAAATGAGAACTCTTCTTCAAGATAAAAATCAAATATATTGATCAGATAATAAAACTTACCTGCATGAATGAAGTCAATCACATGTTTTGAGAACAAATTCTACAGGATCAAGAATTCATCTGCTCTATTGCAAAATAACTTACTGACATAATTTAAATCATAGACAAACCCAACAATTTTAAGAATACGTACTGAGATACTTGAATGGCAAACCAACTCTTTCTCAGAACTGCTAGGCTCACTGGATTCTCGTGGTATCTACACTTTTCATTTACTTTTTCCTCTAAAACAGATTAATATTTGTTTGATCTCAATTCCACTTCCTAAGATATTAATATATTATTATATAACATCCTATGCTCGTAATCAATGTAATGTGATAATTTCTAAGCTTCTGAATTGTGCATGTTTCCCCTCGGCCTTAAACGTTCTTTGGTGCTTTAGGGCCACGACCTACATGATACTTTGATCTCTTCTCTGACAACGTTCGTTGTTCACATACTAAAGATTTGCTTTTCATAACTGGATATTCTTATCTTTTGTGTAGTGTACTTATTTCCATTATTGTGCACTCTCTTAAGCACATGTATAAGCTATTTTGAAACACGCAATTTCCTCCTTTGGCATCTTCACTGCAAGCTTGTTTATGCAAGTGCAATTAGGTGTTATATGCGACATCTACAAAAACTTTATTCAGCTCTGAGAGCCTGATACGAAATGGTGCCCTGCCTTCAGATCTATTGATCAGAAGAGAGAGAGAGACGCACTGATGAATGCGTCTGTGCATTGTTCTCAGCTGGATGTACTGTAAATCGATACCTCGCTCCGGGAGTTTGAGTGGCTGGAGCTCTCTCTCAACTAGTAGAAGTAAAACTAGCAGAGTAAAGATTTAAGGGAGAACAATGGCTAATCTTATCATTTGTCTAAAAACTGTTTAAATTTTTGCCCTAGATACTCAGTGCCAAAATGTCATAAAGCATCGTAACTCACTACTATAACTTAAGAATCACTATTTAGAAAAAATACTCCAAAATGCTGTATCCGCTATTAGAGGATTAAAGAATGACAATTTAGAACAGCAAGAAGCAGCTCGGTCCTCTAAACTCATAAATGCAAGGGTACTTTCAGTCTTTAAAAAGACAAATGTGTATTTTTGAATTTAAGAACAGCTGAAAAGCATTTTTAATCACAAATCTCAAGTCCTGTAAAATAGGTAAGCATTGCTATTCCCCATTTTATAGGCAGAAAAGCTGAGGCTGAGAGAGATGTGATTTGCCATCAGTTAGATCTGCCATTACTTGCTGTGGTGACCACTGTATCATGGTGCTGTTCTTATTTCAGCTCTCATCTTACAGGTGGGTCTGCATGAACAGATTCACATGATACAGATGTGTCATCTATCAGTTTCAATTCAACTGCAGGATAGAAGCCTTTAAAATTATTAGTTACGTTATTGTTTCATTAGTTTCATTGCGTAGTTTAACTGCAAACGTTTGATGTGCACTGAATGATATTTATAGGAAGTGCTGATCTTAAACGTCTTTCCTTTTGGCAGTTCTGCACCTATATTGAGAATGGTTTATCTGCAAAATGATCACTAAATGTGCATTACAATTATAGTTTTAACCACACAGTTAAGGACTGTATTTCGTAAAGCAAACATAGCCTGCGTTTTAGTAGGGAAAGTATCAGAAGTGACTCAGATTGTGAAAGGTTGATTGCGTTGCTGCAAAATTTGGAATCATTTATGCTAATTGTAAGTCTATAGCTATTACTTCAGAAAATTCTGATTAATAGTTTTATATCACACCATATTTTGAATATTAGATCACATTTTTTTTGTATTCAGCAATGTTCCCTTAGTTCTGCTATTTTTGAACTTTATTCCAATGCACATTTTGTCTTTTTTTTCCAGTATACTTAATAGCATTAAGTTCAGAATTTTGGAACCTTCTGGCCTGGTGAACATGACCTCCTCTATACTGCAAGTATATATTCTTGTTTATTTTAAAGAAACAGATTTCTCTCATCTTTCTTCTTGACCGAGCACAGTTTTAAAAAATAACAGAAAAATCCCAAATCCCAATACCACTAGCTTTCATACTGTATAATTATACTAATTCTAGCTTCTGACTTGATTATTTATTATATCTTTAAATTCTGAAATTTTCAAAAATCAAGTCAATATCCTGAACATCTATTGTAGAATTAGAATATAAAATATTAAATCACTGGAAACTCACCAGCATCTCAAAATAAAAAAAAAGGTGAACTCTGCTTTTAAATAAAAGTCAGTGTGGCCAACAGTCTTCATTCAGCAGCTTTGAAACCAACTGCTTCTGCAGAAATACTAATTCCCAGGCTCTGCTTTTCTTTGCAGACCTGAAGCTTTTGAGAGTAAGGCATTGCCCAAAGGGTGTGGCAGAGGCAGCAGCTGCCCTTGCTGCTGCTCGTAGTTAACCATGCAATACCATAAACGATTTCATTGCATCTAGGAATTTTCAAGAAAGATGTTCTTTCCCTTTATGCAACTGGAAATATCACGAGTATAGCACAAGGCCATTTAGATTTCAAAACCAGCTAAAAGCTGGAGGCATCCTGGACACCCAGCAGAACGTCTGGGCACTTGCAGGGCTTTGTGGCTTGGCGTACCACAGCCATCGTCAGGCAAGGGGAAGCTCTGTGCAAACATCCCTGAACTCCCTGACTTGGCTGCCTTTCTGTCAACGCTCCCTAAGACAGATGGGCCAGGAAAAGGTGGATTAATGTCTGAAGGGTCAGTAGTCCAGCTCTTCATAATGCCGCTCTGCACCATTTCAGACCAGGCCCACTCAAAGGGGTGCACCTTGCTCCATGGGAGCTGCCAGCTGGAGGCAAGGACAACCACTCTCAGATTTTCTCGAGGTCTTCCTCAGCATATATGAATGATGATTTCTAAAATGATTCAGAACACCTCTCCTTCCTAGAGAGCAGTCTCTGTGGTGTCTGGCTCCTCACATACCGATGCCAGCTGTGCACGTGAGGTGGCATCTCTGTTCCCAGCCATGAGCTGGGGGTTGTGTATGGCTGCTGGTGTTGGCAGCTGGATGCGAAAAGAGCTAATGAGAAGGCCAGGAGCATCGGAAGGAACTAAAAGACTATTGAGAGGTAGGGAGAGAGTTAATTCAGAAGAGAAAAATCATGGCAGGAGTGAAAATGATGGCAAGGACGACCAGTGGTGGGAATTCTGCAAAGCAGGCATCTCCTTCTAGTTTATATTCCTTCTTCTCATTCTTTGGCTTATCTCACTTAAAATTATATCACCTCAATGGTAGGGCTGGTTTTTGGAAAGTGCTCCAGGATTTTCTTGTGGAGAACACCTCCCAGCCTCTTTGATAAAGAATATTTACTCTGCCATCATCCTCCAAAATTAAGCATGTCACTTCTTCAAGGTGGAATAAAAAGACCCTGGCTGCAGAATCCTGTCACCATGGCCCTAGGTTTCATTGGCCATTAAGCAGCCCAGCTAGTAAAATTGATATATTGGGCATGGCTTCCTGCAGCTATTTGAAATTGCATTGCCTTTCTGCACGTCAATGGAAGAAGTGCAGAACAGAGCAGTATTTTTTTGGTCTATTTCTCATATAATCTGAATACATTACTGGCTTTTGATGTCAGTTCCTGCCAGCTGACAAAATGTCACATTTCTTTAACTTTTCTGCATGATCAGCATTGTACAGAGAATGAAATTTCCCTTCCGTTTCGTGTGTGTATATGAATGTTTATATGTATGTACAAGTTCCTTTCTGTTAACATATCCAAGCAGAGATTTCAACTTTTAGTATAAATTTGCTTATGTTAAGTACTAAAATATATGTAAATCTCTCTAAATATTCAAGGCAGATTCTTTAAGCAAGTACATTAAGAATACAGAAAATCTTAATGACATTTATATTTGTGCTTTTGTTTGTATTCATAAGCCACTAAGGTATACCACATATAGGAGTGTACAGTTAGATTCACCAGGATACCAGTTTTAAACAAACGATATATATTTGTCCATGATGCAATTGTGAATTTGGAAGACCAGGTCAAAAAAAGTGCTTTTCTTTTTAGATGTTCATAAAATTGAGTATTTTTAAATATGATAGTATTATCATTTTAGGTCTTGAATCTTTTTTCCTCTGTCCCCTTTCTTTTTGGTTTTCCCTATAGTTTCTTAAAGAAAGGTGAAATCAGCATTTTAAAAATTTCTCAGAAAATTTAAATGAGGAAAGAGGAAAAGTAAAACAAAATAAGTCTTGAGAAATGAGTGGAGAGTCTTGTATACAAAAAGCCCAGTTCAGCTCTTAAATTCAACTGTGATCATTTGGATCTAGGTATTACAGTTTATCATTCTCTCTGAGGTAGTTCCTTCTCTTTATTCCTAAATCCTTCTAGTTATCAATAGTATGTTTTAATTCATGCTCCCTGTGATAAAATGCTTCATATATATGTAAAATGCTCTCACAAATTATTCAGACTCAGTTTCTACCTGGGGTGGCCATCACTAGATGGAAGTTAGTGCTCACCAAAACAGTCGATGGGAATTGCAGATCCCTAGTCGTCTTCTAGGAATAGCTGTAAGCCTTTCTCTCTGCCCGGTGTCAGTTGCCTGGAATATCGCAAGGGCTGCTATGGACAGATGGAGCAGGTAAATATGGCTGGGACCCATCCACACAGGAAGTCAACATATGTCATCTAATGTCCAGATTATGTTAATTTTTAGTAATTCTTTCTGTGGGCGTGCCAGCTGGGTCACCCCACAGCTAGTTTCCACAATGCTCCAGCAAGGAAATAGAGCAAATTTTTACTTTTATTTTTATCTCCTTTATTCTGTTCAGGGGAAAGCATAGCTGTATTAAGGACTTCTGCAATGTCTCTGTGTCATTATTGTCAGCTGCTGTTTTTCTATGTCATGTGCTTTAGCGGCTGTTTTTCTAAGTGGTGAGCTGCATGCCAGTGTGAGAAGTTTGAAGCTTTGGGGTGAAACTGTTTAAGGCAGAAGTGAGTGTGGCAATATTGCGCTGGTGGGATTTTAGGTTGCTTCTGAACCATAAGACCCATTTGTAGGAAAGGTAGCAGACAAGCTTTGCCTAACAGATGTGCCAGACAGACTAAGCAAGGCAGCATGTAACCTACTGAGAGTACCTTGTACCAATTGCAACAGAAGGCAGAGATACAGCAACTAGCTCTAAATGTGCTTGCTCAGGCACAAGTAGCAATAATTGGTGGATGTTAGTGCAAGCTAATTTACCTCATATTCAATAGGGTATATTCAATATTCAATAGGATATGCAGCTGTACTGCCTCCAGGGCAGAGGCTCTCAAGGCTAGAGCTTTGTGGGTTAAGCAACCCACAAAGTCATTGAGTGTGGAGAAGTCTTTGAGTTTGTTAGCTCTGTAAATTTGGTGTTATTCCAGAGTAGGGAGCAATCTGTGCTTCATCATTATTTATTTGTTGTTTCTCAAGTATGGTAATATGCCAGTAACAGAACTTATATTTTGTCTTAAATTAAGCTTTAATGTAGAGGAAAAACATCATTTTTCAAGACTCAGTAGCATTACATAATTTACCCTCCATAGCCTTTATTACTTTGTTTATTTTTTTAACCAAAGAAAGGTGATTTTAGGTTTGCTAAGATAAACGGAGAAAGATTATTTCAGACCTTGCTTGAGAAAATTAATATCGAATTGTTAACGTAGATTCCCAAGAGAAGGGGTCCCTGCAGTGACTGAGGAAAAGAAAGCAGAAAGATTGCTACTCTCCACTGCAGTCATTTGCTACACAAGATATACTGCAGAAACACAGTGAGTGTGGAAACCATTCAGCCTGGTAGCAGTCCAGTAGTTCCAACCTATTAACTGTATTTGCTAGGATGGAGTAGCAATGCAGATGCCGTATGATTTATGCTATTAACCTATTTTTTTCTTTCAATGGAACTACATAACTAATTTTATTCTTTCCGCTTTCTAAAACAGAAATGACTCAGTTGCAGTTAATGGAATTAAGCTAGCAAAGCAGCAAACAGAATCAAGCTCTTTATTTTGAATCTAAAGCAAAGCACGTTAGCTATATTTTGGTCTAGAGAAACATTAGTTACATTAAAAAATATAAAGAGAAGTCCACTGGAAAGCTAAGCAATACCTATATATTACTAATGCTAATGAATAAATGCCGCGTTCAGCATCATGTGGCTTCTGATTTATTGTAAAGCAACAAAGAAGGATGGGACTGAGAATCAAGGCTTTGGGGAGAAAAAAAGCTGCAGCTACGCAGCACTCCGCTTTGACTCGAGTGGACCCCACCAGTTCTTTGCGCTGATAGCTCGCAGTCTACATTCTTGTTTTCCCAGCACAGGGTGTTTATTGTGTTTGTTATTTTGTTTGTTTGTGGAGGGAAGGTTGTTTTATTTCATTTTATTTTTTCAAAACTGAGGGTTATGTTTTCTGGCTGAATTGAAGAAATTACTCGGAAGTGAAAACTAGAACCAAACACTCCTTTCCCATAGATATTTCTAAGTTTTTTCTTTTCAGCTATGAATGCAGCTCTAGCGATTTTCCATTGACTCTCCTCAGGTGCAGTTATGAGATGTAACAGTGAAATAGCCCTAGGAGCAGGGATGAGAAGCCGTAACTGCCTTCCTGAATGAAGGCTTACCATTAGGATGCCAAGCTCATGTTTTCTCATGGTCTGTCTTTCTGTCCCTGTAAATTTTGACATCATTCTTGTGTAGTGATGGGAAAGAGACCTCAGATGGTCTGTTGCCTGGTGGTTGGGGAAGAGTTTTGCTGATTGATGGAAAACGTGGCTTTGAGTTCACCAGAGCTGATGAGGAGATTTAGCATAGACACTCATGTAATGAGATGTAAGCTAAGCAATTATATAAAAGCATGGCTAAGACAGACGTTAACTGTATTTCCTATCTCTGTGTCTGTTCTGCTTTCTGGCTGTTGTGCAGCCTAGTCTGAGGCACTAAACTGCCTTCCTGAGTCACGTAGGATGAGCTACCTGTGGCTGTTTGAGGCTCCTGGCAGACTAAATAGCCCCCCTCTGCCCTCCTCTCTTCCCTGCTGTGACTGCTTCCCTGTCCCAGTAACCTTGCTAAGGTAATGGAAATGCCTAGCTACACAGCAGAGACTTTCACTTGAGCTACTATATACTATTTGATTGCTTCCAATATTTCAGATACTTCATTTATAGGTCAGTACATATGTATGTACACTATTCTGATGTCTGCAGGATTGTTGTACCCGTTTTTTAAAAATCATGTGTTTTAATTAAGTACAATTAGCCAAGTCCAAGTAATCTAATACAAGCAAGTCCTTGTGCCCAGTTCTGCATTAGCCATGCTGAGAGGGAACATTAAGAAGACAGTAAAAAAAGATATGGGAGAATCCCATTATCAGTTTAGTAATATGCATGTTTCCCTTATAAATCTGTCCATGAAAATTAAATTTAATTTTATATGAGCTACAGGGAGTCTTAAAAAGTCCTAATATTTTAATTTGATTTCTGTCCTTCTGCCAAGTGTGCTGCTTCGGATATGCTACCTAACTTTGCTTCTTAAAGTAGCCCTGAAATGGAGATAAGCAGGCCAGATACTGGCTCAGGTTCTGTGAAGGAAGGAAGAAGGGGGTTCTCCTCCTCTACAGCCTCACACACAAAGCTGCAGTAGTGGCTAGCACAGCCGTTCTTCCCTTCCCTCAAATCCACACTTTAAGGAAGGTAATTCATGTTTATTCCGCATTTTGAAGACATGAAAAGTAATGATTAATTGATATGTCAAATCAAAAATAATGAGAAATTGTGCCAATAAACACTTAGAGCAAATATAAGTAGAGATTTGAGCTGTGAATTTAGGCATGTGAATTTACATGTAAAATCATTCATTTATCGTTATTTTGTGGTAGCCTGATCTATTGGATTGTGCATGGCTTTGAATCAGGAAGGTGAAGCTCCCTGTGCTATCACAGACAACCTCACTAATTCCTAGTTAGTCGTTTTATAAAGGTGAACTTAATGGTGTTGCCTTAAATCCAAAGCACTTCAAAATATTATTGCTCCTGTTTACTACTGTGATGCTTTTTCAAAATAGTGTGATACATGATTTTTAATATCAGTGATTTGTTAGTTTATGCCAAAAGCAAAAACATAGTGTGTGTCACCCAGGGCAAGGGCAAAATGAAGGGCACAGATTAAATCCTGCTTACTCTAGCGGAATTCTGAGTT